TCAGGTGCTGCTGGAAACTGCTGGAGGGGAGAGCCACTGTTGTGCTCAACTCCTGCTTGCTCGTTTCCCACAAGAGGCACCTGGTTTGCCACTGTGAGGACACAATGCTGGACTAGGTAGACTGTTGGCACAGTCTAGCAGGCTCTTATGTTCTTACAGTTCTCAGGGGTTTCTGGAAGAGAAACTGTGACTCTTCAAGTGCCTGAATGTCTAGTGTGGATGTGACCTCTCTTGCCTATTACATTGCTGGACTAGGGGGCTCCTGGTGCAGGATTATCCTCCACTTAATTAAGTTCAGGTTGTCCCATCTTGATCAATTTGACAAAAGGGCTAATGCACCTCACCACTCACCCATTTGATCCTGCTGGAAGTTATTTGGACTGTGTTTCTCTGCTCTGCTGTGGAACTCAGCTCTGTTCAGACTCTGGTGGGATGTAGTGCAGGCATCTAGAATTTCACCTCCACCCCCAATTCTTGCAGGCTGGTGTAATTGCCCCACCCACTTCCCCCAGCAGCGAGCTGAGTGCCAAGTTCTTGCTGCAGAATTGACTGTCGTTGGGACTCCCAGGTCTCTGTGATGTCCCAGAACCAGCAAAGGAAGAGAGACATCGGTTGATTCTAAAGGAAACAGGATTGTGGAGGCTCTCGGCTCTCCTACTGGGGTCAGGTTTTGCAGGTGTCCTCCTGTGTAGAGAAAATATTTCAGATGATAGACCAAAGAACCTCTCGAAGGCCCACGAGTGCTTCACTGTGGGGAAGAAGATTGCAGATGGACCCTGCCCCAAGGTCCAGTAAAGAATAATAGAATGGTAGAGTTGGATGGACCCTCAAGTGTCCTCTAGTCCAGCCCTCTTCAGTGCAGGAATCACAGCTAAGACCAGGTTCTGATTCTTGGGTGGCCTTGGAGTGTCACCCTGTGAACTGAACCTCAGGCAAGAGATCTCTTCAAGCAGGGAAGCATAATCCAACCATAAGATCATAGAATTGTAGAGTTGGTAAGGGACTCTGAAGGTCATCTAGTTCAACTCCTTGCAATGCTGGAATGTCAACTGAAGCATCCATGACAATTGGCCACCAAACGTCTGCTTAAAAGATAAATTTCAATAGGGACAAAAGTCAGGTTCTGCAGTTAGGCAGGAATAACCAGCTGCACAAAAATAAGATGGGGGACACCTGACTTGCCAATAGTACATATAAAAAGGATCTAGGGGTCTTAGCAGACCATAAGCTGAACATGAGTCAACAGTGTGTTGCAGCAGGAAAAAGGCTAATGCTATTCTAAGCTGCATCAACAGAAGTTAGCATTCAGATCAAGGGAAGTAATAGTAACACTCTATTCTGCCTTGGTGAGATCACACCTCGAATACTGGGTCCAGTAAGAAGGAATTTGACATGCTAGAACGTGTGCAGAGGAGGGCAACCAAGATGATTAAAGGTCTGGAAACCAAGCCTTAGGAGGAACAGTTGAGGGAGTTGGGCATGTTTAGCCTGGAAACTAAGACATAACATGAGAGTCATCTTCAAATACCCGAAGGATTGTCACATGGAAGAGGGAGCAAGCTTGTTTTCTCCTGCTCTGGAGGGTAGTACCCGAACCAATGGCTTCAAGTTACAAGAAAGGAGATTCCAACTAACATCAGGAAGAACTTTCTGGTGCTAAGAGCTGTTTGACAGTGGACCAGACTCTGTTAAAAGGTGGTGCGTCTTCCTTCATTGGAGGTTTTTGAACAGAGGCTTGATGGCTATCTGTCATGAAAGCTTTAGTTGTGATTCCTGCATTGCACAGAGTTGGACTAGATGACCCTTGGAGTCCCTTCCAACTCTACAATTCTATGATTCGATTATTCTAGATAGAGTGTATCTGAACCTGGAGGTTCCACAGGAGCATCAGAAGAGCACTGTTGGATCAGACCAAAAGCCCACCTGGTCCCTCATTCTCTTCTCTCAGAGGCCAACCAGATGGGAAACCCTCAAGCAGCACCTGCAAAAAAGAGCAGCTCTCCCATCCTGTGACTTCCAGCAAGTGGTATTCAGAAGCATTGCTGCCTCTGGCCTTTAAGGCAGAGCATAGACATCATGGCTAGTAGCCATTGATCGCTCTCCCCTCCTCCACGAATTTGTCCAGCCCTTTTTTAAAGCCATCCACCTTGGTGACCATCACTGCCTCCTGTGGGAGTGAGTTCCACAGTTTAATTACTGTATGCACTGTGTTGAAGAAATCCTTCCTTTTATCTGTCCTAAATCTTAGAAGGCAGAGAGTGTGTGGAGCCTGGACTGAGATGGAGCTTGATCTCCTCCTCCCTTGGATTCAAATGATCCTCCAGGCTGGGTGGCCTTTGCTTATCTTGGATATTCGGTAGCGGACTTGGAACTTTTGATGAGAAAAGTGATCCTCCGTTCAAAAGGGCAGTCCAAACAAAGCCCGCAGTGTCTTCCTCTGGAGCAAATCTCCCCCTGGAAGTGTGTGATCCAGCTTGAGGGTCAAGGGGAAATGAATCTCAGGTGGGGTGAAAAGGGGGGGGGATGAGCCTTGATTCATAAATATTCCTGGTATCCTCCCCTAAAACCAACAGAGGAATAATTAGACATTAATAAGTTGGGGAAACAAACCATCAGCCCTGCTGAGGGCCCTAGAGGCAGAAGAGGTGTGGCTGTAAAGGGTGAGCTCCCCACCCCAAAGAAAAAGAGACTGGATTGCCATCTGTCAGATATTCTTAACTATGATTCCTACATTGCAGGAGGTTGGACTAGATGTCCTTTGGGATCCCTTCCAGCTCAACAATTCTATGATTCATTAGAGCTTTTCAATGGAGGTTGGATGGCCATCTGTCAGGAATCTTTTAGCTGTGTCCTGCATTGCAGGGGGTTGGACTAGATGACCCCCCCCCAGGGCCAGGGGTCCCTTCCAACCCTAGGCTTCAAGGCTTCTATGACAGCAGTTGCGAGGAAATGCAAGAAAGCGTCAGACGCCTCTGCCGCCACCTGAGAGCCAAGATCCTTTGTAAACAAGGCGCTGCACCAGATCCTGCTTGTTAAACACCGAACGGAAGTAAACAAGCCAGCTCTTTGTGTTGCTCCCAGGCTTGGCTCATCCCTGGCTGGCTCCGTTTCATGCACAAGCTCTCCAAGCCCACGTGGCATCCAGCCGTGGCAGCTGGGAGCCATGTGTCAGAGCGCGACTCCGCTCCAAGGAGCAAGCCCTGCTCGGGTGATGGGGAAGCTGGCAACTTTCCAGGCATATGCTAGCTGATTCTGCACTGGGCATATGCAAGCAAAGGGGATGGAGCGACTCCCCTATGAAGAACGGTTGCAGTGTTTGGGACTTTTTAGCTTAGGGAAAAGGCGAGTTAGAGGCGACATGGTAGAAGCGTATAAAATTATTGCTGCAGAGTTTTGTGCGCCACCCCTAATATCTGCTGAGCAGTAGCAATATTCCAAGGGGGTTACAGAGCTCACCTAGGATTGTGTTTCCATTGGGAAATCAAGCCCCAGCGGAGATTAGTATCTTTAAGAAATATGGTTTGTTATTGTTGTAACTTGCATGCATATTTACATCTCTACTTTGGAGAGAGTTCAGAGCATTGCATCTCTAGAGGGGCTTGTTCCCCACAGCAGTGGAGTCCGAAGAATCCTGCATGCCATCTCCATGCCTCATTCCCAGCCTGCCATGATGGTTCTGGCCTTCATGTTGTTGTTGTTGTTTAGTCATTTAGTCGTGTCCGACTCTTCGTGACCCAATGGACCAGAGCACGCCAGGCACTCCTGTCTTCCACTGCCTCCTGCAGTTTGGTCAAACTCATGCTGGTAGCTTCGAGAACACTATCCAACTATCTAGTCCTTTGTCATCCCCTTCTCCTTGTGCCCTCCATCTTTCCCAACATCAGGGTCTTTGCCAGGGAGTCTTCTCTTCTCATGAGGTGGCCAAAGTATTGGAGCCTCAGCTTCACGATCTGTCCTTCCAGTGAGCACTCAGGTCTGATTTCCTTAAGAATGGATAGGTTTGACTTCTTGCAGTTCATGGGACTCTCAAGAGTCTCCTCCAGCACCATAATTCAAAAGCATCAATTCTTCGGCGATCAGTTCCGCTCACTTCCTGTCTTCTTCCCAATAACCCTTGCTCCAAGTAACTGCTCCCCATCTGACAGCTTGCTCCCCTTATCCAGACTTCTGTTTTTCAGACGGACGCATTTTTTTCCTGTGTGACATCATGCCTCCTGAAACCTCCCCCTTCCAACTCTGCTCAGAGCTCAGACAGAGGGCCAATGACTGGCCATTGTCCGGTAATTTCACCTGGATGGCCCTTCTCCCAGGTGATTTCCTGGTTTAACCTGTGATTTAAGTTCTATTACCTTAGATCCATAACATTATGCATGGAATGGAGAAGAAAAGTCTTTCTTCCTCTCTCCTAACACTGCAACTCACGGACATCCAGTGAAGGTGAACAAGGGAAGATTCAGGATTGATAAAAGAAAGTTAAACTGTGGAACTCATGCCCACAGGAGGCAGTGATGTCCACCAACTCAGATGGCTTTAAAAGAGGATTGCTTCTGAATACCAGTTGCTGGAAGCCACACAAGGGGAGAGAGCTCTTCAGGTCTTGCTTGTGGGTTTCCCATAAGCGGTATTTGGTTGGCCACTGTGAGAACAGGATGCTGGACTCCATGGGCTACTAGCCTGATCCAGCAAGCAGGTTCTCTCCTTATGATCTTATGTTCACTCAAATGCTTGAGTGCTATTTTAAGACCTTTGGTTTTTTAAAAAATCAGTATTTTAATTATTGCTAAAATGCTTTCCCAGCTACATATTTTTAATGAGAGGAATAATAATAGAAAATTAACATGTTGTTAATTTTTATATAACAGTGCTATTACACAATTGTACCATTACACGGTAATGGTAATTAATATATTTTAAATATATCTTGGGTCATTGCCATTTTTGCAATGTAGTTAATTGCAATGATTAGGAAAGTTTCTTTTTTAAAAATAGGATAGCATTATGATGCTACAGCAGTGAACCATATATATATATATATATATATATATATATATATATATATATGACTCAAAACTGGTTTAGCAGTACATAAAGAATAAGTTAAAAGCCCCTGCCCCACCATGGGATTGTAAAATGGTACTGTACTTGAGATGCCATTGAATATTGCTAGAAGGTTTCCCTCTGGGGCAGGTGTAGTGCACCCACCTCTTTTCACCACCAATTAATATTGTGGCAGATCCATTCAGCCAGCTGCCCCCAATTAAATATAGTGCACCCACATCACAGTACAAATTAAACAAATTTCTACAATTTACCACAGATTATCTAGTCTGGCTCTGCTGTCCGTTACAGCAGGGGGGCCCATTGCATGGCCTCAAGGCCTTTGTCAGTGGTTTTTGGCAACGCCCCCCACCCACCATCCGCAGCGCTCACTCTGCCTTCCCAAAGGCTGGTAATCAAGGTGCTGGGCTTGGGGAAGGAGGTGTGAGGGCTCTGGTAGGGTCCTAGAGTCCTTCTGTCTACTTCCTAAAACCTAGTTAGCAATTTCCCAGCTTTGGGGAGGATGCAGGAGGTTTTGGGACCCTGCCGGAACTTCACACCTTCTTCCCAAAGCCCATCACCTCACTTAGCCAACTTTGGGAAGGCGGAGGGGGGGGGCATCAAATTTTGGCCTTGCTCCCCACCCTGCATGACAAGGCAGTGTACAGCCTATGGATTCTGTGTCAAAGTACTCTTGTGGCCCACTAGGTTTGAACATTTGGACCACCCTACATGGGTATAGCCAGCTAGGTACTCAGCTAGGTAAGTATTTTTATTGATTTACTTAATTTGCATGGGCAGCTGCCTCCCTGCCACATCTTGACTATGCCCATGCCACCCTACTTTGGGGCATCGGGTTGCCCATTGTGAGAACATGCTGTTTGGCTCAATAGGCTGTTGGCCTGATAATTTTAATGCATTTACTGCTTGCAATCCTTTATATTGCAGAGGTTTGGACTAGATGACCCTCAGGATCCTTCTAACTCTAAAATTTCGGGATTCTGTTCTATGATACAGCAGGCTGATCTTATGTTTTTAAACCACAGTGCTATGTCCCTTTAATCTGTCAGCTGCCTCCAAAACTCCACACAGAGTCTATTGTTGCTTTTGAAGGCTGCCAATAGCATTGGGCAAAGATGCCACAGAGCTCTTTCACTTGAGAATTAGTGATGCGGCAAATAGGGCAAGCAGAGAGAGATACACACTTGAACACAGCAAGTTTTGGCTTGCACCAGCTTGGGCGAGCCAGGCGCCCTTCCCAATTGCTCTGTGATCAACGCATGCATTTGCAGGGCTTGAGCAAGGAGCTGTGAGTAATGGAGCATGGCAGAGGTGAAATGCTGCCTTGCAGAAAGGTTAGAAGCAGAGCAGCCTTGGGGGACCCAAAAATGGCCTACGGAACAGGGTTTTCTGCTGTGCTCAAGTCAGCACCCACAAGGGAACCCCATAGGAGGTCCAAAACAAGTGGCACAACTGCTGCATCCTGAGATTTATTTCCATATTTTGGAAAGTGGTTTGTCTGCCTTTCCATCTGTCTGTTCTCTGTCAGATTGGCTGCCTTTGGAGATATTGTTGCCAAATTCTAAGAGTTCCCAAGCTGGGGACAGAAAATTTTGTTGCTGTTTACATACCTTCCAACATTTCTCTGATGAAAATAGGGACCTATTCCATAATGATATTTGTACTATTTATACCCCACACATCTTACTGGGTTGCCCCAGCCACTCTGGGCATCTTCCAACATATATAAAAACATAATGAAACATTGCTATCTCCAACTGTGCAAGGCAAAGCATAACCATTGTGGTTAGTGGTCACTGATAGCCCTCTCCTCCTCCATGAATTTGTCCAGTCCTCTTTTATAGCCGTCCAAGTTGGTGGCTATCACAGCCTCCTGCGGCAGCAAGTTCCACAGTTGAACCATGCAATGTGTAATTCCTTTTATCTGTCCCAAACTTTCCAACATTCAGCTTCTGATGTGTGCAAGAATTGTAGAATTGAAGATAGCCCCACAGGTCATTTTTTCCAACCAACTGGAATCACAACTAATCATGGGGATAGCCAAGGGGGAGCAGGGGGGCAGTTGCCCCCACTAGGTAACGTAAAACAAGAGAAAAAAATAACTGATCAATCACATTGGTTCTGCCCCCCCCCAAGTCCTGCCCTCCCCTAACAAAAATCCTGGCTACACCTATGCAACTAATCACATATAACTTTTTAAACTCCACAGTAAAGCATCCAAGGATGAGATTTTAGGAAAGATAGGATAAAATAAGATAACTAACAATGAAGATGGGTTTGGGCTCAACTTTTCCCAGTAGTGAAACCTTGTGAAGTAAGGCAGCACTTTAAGCAGATTATGACTGGAATATGGTGAGCAGAGCCCATCACTCTAGTGTTAGAATAAGGGAATCATGGAGTTGCAGAGTTGAAAGGGACCCCAAGGATAATGTAGTCCAAGCCTCTGTAATGCAGGAATCACTGCTAAATAATTCCTGACAATGAAGTGGTGGACTCTCATTTGTTAGAGGCTTTTGAGCTCTTCAGCTGTGGTTCCTGTGTTGCAAGGAGTTGGGCAAGTTGACCCTAGGGGACCAACTCTACAATTCTATGAAATACAAGGGGAGAAAAAGGAATCCCAGGACCTAGAAACAGAAAAGGTCTCCTTGGTTGGACCCTTCTGTTGTGGTGGGTGGGTGTTTGGAAAAGCAGTGGGGTCAAGAGTTTTCCCTGGTCATTTAAGAACTCCTCCTGAAGACTCAGCTCCATCCTCTGGCCTTATCTTATTGCAAGAAGATTACAACAGAAAGCCAAAAGATTCTGTCCAAAAGCTCCTTAAGAGATCCCAGCAGATAGAACAAAAATAGATTGAAATTTAATTTATAATTTGGCTCCACAAACATATTCATATTGTAGAGTTGGAAAAGGGCAATCAAAATGATGCAGCATTTGGGACTTTTTACTTCAGAGAAAAGGTGAGTAAGAGACAACATGATAGAAGTTTATAAAATGATAAATGGCATGGAGAAAGCAAATGGAGAAATTTATTCCTTCCTCTCTTACTTGGGGACATCCAAGAAAGCTGAATGTTGGAAGATTCAGGGCAGATAAAAGAAAGTCCTTCTTAGTTCACCCGCAGAACTCTCTGCAACAGGAGGCAGTGATGGCCACCAACTTGGATGGCTTTAAAAGAGGATTGCACAAATGGGTTGGACTAGATGAACCTTGAGGTCCATAGTCTACTCTATAGTTCTATGAAATTCATGGAGGAGAAGGCTGTTGAGAGAAGGTTGTTAATGGCTGCTAGACACAGTAGCCATGTTCTGCCTCCATGGTTGGAGGTAGCAATACTTGCTGAATACCAGTTGCTGGAAACCACAGGAGCTATTGTGCTAGAATTCGGCTGGCTAGTTTCCCATTGTGGCATCTGGTTGGTCATTGGCCATTGGCCTGATCCAGATGGCTTTTTGTTTTTAAAGAAGTCCTCTCTAAACCTTCAGGTAATTGAAAACAACTGTCTCGTCACAAATACCCCATTTGAAGGGTGGGGGTAAGTGCTTGATTAGGGTAGTGACTTCAGCTACAGATCTGCTTGGAGGAAATGGAGTTTCTTTACCTATTTCAGTCTGGGTTCAGGGCAGGTTTGAGGATATTGGGAGATCATTGGTGATGACACACTTTAAGAGTGCTTGTCTCCAAGTAGATATCAAGGTATTCTATGTCCCTCATAGCTAGCTGCTTCCTTGAAGTCCTAGAATTGTAGGATTGAAAGGGACTCCAAAGTGTCATCTAGACCAAATATCTGTAATGCAGGAGTTGTGGCTAAACAATCCCTGACAGATGGCCATCCAAGTTTGGTATAAAAACCTCCAATGAATAATAGAATCATAGACTTGGAAGGGGCCGAATGTGTAATCTAGGAGAAACCTCTGGCAAGGCAGGAATTGCAGCTCATATCTGTCATTTGTTTCTGGAAATGTCTTTTGATTATCACATGATTAATCTATTTATATTTCATTCAGTGCCAAAATAGTCTCATTCACAAGGTATAGAAACCAAGTCGCACAAACTACTAAAATATAAATATCCATCATTTAAACTACACAACAATAAGTCCTTCTAACTTTATGTATAGAACAATCTCACCCTTGTGACCATCTATTGAAATAATCTTCTATACTCTTTTTCTAGTTCTATATCCAGGAGTCCCAGCAGGAACAGTTCTGATTTCAGTTGAACACTTACCTTCAAAATCATTTGTATCAATGTATGTATTTGTAGCCAATATTTTTTAGCTTTTTACACATCCACCAAGCATGATAAAATGCCCCTTTGTGTACTTGACACTTCCGACAAACATTTGGAACATTTTTATGCATTTTAAATAACTTATCGGGAGTTAGATACCAAAGGTACATCATTTTATAAAAATTCTCTTTTAAATCATAACTTAGTGTGTATTTTAACCCCTTTGTCCACATGTGTTCCCACCGTTTCATCTATGTATTATTAACATTTTTTGTCCATTTAATCATGCATTATTTAACTTGTTCCTCTTCCATTTCTATTTACAGCAACAGTTTATACATTTTTAATTTAACATGTTCATCATTATTACACAATTGTATCACAAAATCCATCTTACTTTGTTCCATACCCCAAGTCTCTTTATCCAACTTAAATCTCTCTGCTAATTGTAACTGAAAAAACCACTGGAAGTTATAACGTCCCACTGTTAATTGTTCCCTTGTTTTAATTTTGCAATATCCTTGGTTCCACTCTAATAACTCTTGATAAGTTAACCATTTCTCTTTACCCATCAGCTCTTTTCTACAGAAAGCTTCTTGCAGTGAAAACTATAATGGTGTCTTGGTGCATCACCTAAGTTTATATCTATTCCAGATTATTAATTTAACACATTTAATAAAGTGGTTCTTAACATCCACATTTACATAATTTACATTGACTTTATCATAAGGACATGGGTGGCGCTGTGGGTTAAACCACAGAGCCTAGGGCTTGCCGATCAGAAGGTTGATGGTTC